AGAGTGGAGCACGCTTCCCAGAAGAGTCAGTGGGAGGCCATGAGAAGCTACATATATTACTTTTAGTAATATTTACACTTTTACTATAAAATAAATTATTCTGGCAAAAATAGTTAAGTGAGGATAGAAATGTCCTCTTGAATTTCATTTGCACAGCAGGCCAGTCCCTCTCCCTTGGGGTTACCTGTAAGAGCAGCCAGCAACTTCTTCCTTCTGAACATGTCAAAAAAACAAGAAAAAGGTATGCCCCCCTGCCTTGGCTCCTGCAGTATGCAGTAAGTCATCACTTGGGGTGTCCTGCCTACCCTTTTGCCTTAACTTTATTTATGATTCCAAGTAGTTGGCTGAAGCCAATTAATTTCAACTCTGAAATGGTGATAAAATATTCACACTCCTAACACTTTAACAGTTTTATTTATTGTATTAAATGTATAGCCAGTATGCTAATGATTATAATCAAGAAGAAAAATGGAGCCTATTATAGTCACTCTAAGTTATCTGATATCATATTTATAGATATGTATGCAGCAAGGACTCAATTTATTGATGGACTGGGTATAAATACAGATCACAAACCTTATTAAGTCAGTAGGTTTTTAATCCAAACACATTTTCCCATAGGAATATTTTATAAGTGGTGTTCAGATTTCAAGAGTGATACACTAAAAAAAAATATTGGGGGCTAGAAATATAAACTATCTATATACACAAAAAAGAAAACATTATTATTATAACTTAAAATATTACATGCAACAGAAAACTAGTTTTAAGGAGAGAGTAGTTGGAAATTTTGGCATTCCTTCTCCAGGTCTGGAGTGCTTAGATAGCCTCTAAAAGCTGAAGACATTCTTTCCTGGGAGCACATTTCTTAATAAAATGTTTCTAAGGCAGCCTGGGCATTGTTATTCTTGAAGTCTTCGGGCATGTAACTGTAATGGGCAGACATGGGGAGATTATCCCAAGGTAACTACAGATGAGTCAGAGAAGCAAAGGTGGGTGTTCAAGGCACAGGGCGGTGAGTTAGCTGAGCTGTGAGTAGTGGAGATGGGATGAGAATGGCAGCATTGCATAAAGGGGCCTGTCCTGATATCTAGTAAGGGAGAATGAGAAGAAATGAGACACGCAGGGCATCAGGGGTGGAGAGTCTTCAAAGTGTGACCAATTCTCCATATAGGACACCTTCATTCAGATTGAGGGGATTTTTCACCTTACGGCTTAAAAACAAATGCCCTATGAGAACCACAGGATATCTGTGACTCCTCCTGTGTAAATGGCGTGCTGTTTTGACCAGAACTTCAATGCAGTCAAGTGAATCTGAGAAAGGAACATGGAATTTTGAAGAACACTGAGAAAAAGAAGATCATAGTAACCTAGTTTCATCATTAACATATACACACACAACTTGCTACTTCTTATGGTTTATACTGGGCACTGAATAGCCTTTATCCTCTCTGATAAACCACTGGCAAGAAGCTAGACATAGCAAGTAGGAAATACCAGTCTTTATCTCAAGAAGTCAAAATTCAAGGGCCTGCATGACTGTGCTGTAACACACCTTTAGCTCCTAAACTTCCACCTCATCTCTCCACAAATCCTATATACTAATACACTGGGACTTTTATGTCTGTTGCTTTCCTCCAAACAGATATTTCTCCCTACTATCTTTTCCTTTGGGATCTCACAGGGCCCCGGAATTTTTTAATACACAGTATCACCTCTCTGCCCAGGAATCCCACCAAATTAAACTCACTCCTAACTCTCTGACTCCATGTTTCCAAAAGCCTGGATTTCCAAAACAGATTTTAAAATGCCATTAAAGAAACTGTACTTATCACCATATTTTCTAGCCCGTAGACTTGACTTTTCTGCTCCTTTGAATGGTACCATCATCTCAGACACTCAGGTCTGCCGCTCTGAAGCTATGACAGTGTCTCTCACACCCAATTAACTGCCAAGTCCTACTGACTTGATCACCACAATCTTTCTTGCATCTTTCTTCTATCAGTGACAATCCCTGTTACTTCAGCTCTGTTCACTGGCTTTCTCTTCTGATCTTTACACACTGCTGTCGAAGCAACCATCCTAAAGGGATACTGTTCCATTGTGCTTTTCCATTGTTCAAAATGTCAGTTGATCTCTATTGTCACATGAAGTTCACTTTTTTTGTCTGAAGTCAAAGATCCTCTGCTACCTCAACTGAATTTTTAGATTAGATCTCCACTCTCCCCTCATGCAACATACTCTTTGGCTGAATTGGACTCCTCTAGATATCCTGACCCTGCTTTATACTTTCCACCTCCAAGTAGCTGATTCTGTTGCTCTGTTTGCAGTGTCCATTCCTCCTCCTTTGACATGTATGTCTGATTTCCGAGTGTTCTTCAAAAATATCCCTCATTTTTATCTTGTTAATTAAGCTTTCCCCTGATGGACTAAGTTAAAGGTGATTGTTCTTTCCTCTAACTTTGACCAGTCATTTCATTTGTTTCTAAACTTGGGTGCATTTATAACTTTCTAACTTGTTTTTTCTTTCTCCCCTACTTGACTTATTTACCTCTGAATTTCTCCACATCACTTAGGGTAAAAAAAGGATATAGACCCTCAAAGAATTTTGCATTGGTAGGAGAGAAAAGTGTTCATGTAACTACAATACACTTCAGAATGAATCCTGAGTGACTGAAAGGGTAGGGAATATATTTTGACCATCTCTCTCTGTGGGAGGGTGAGGACATTATGTCATCTGCATAATGCCACATACTTGGATGAATACTGAACAATTCTGTCACCAATATTACTCGCCAAACTCTAGATGTTGAGTATTGCTTAGTCCAATAATCTGGGTGTCTTTATATGAAAAAAAAAGCTATAAATGAGAGACTTTAACATAGAAATAAAACCAGAAAAGAAATACATATTTTGGGGAAGCTTAGTAGAAATTTATCATCCCAAATTGAAAATGTTTTTGTTTTAGGCTTGAACCACTTAATTAAGAACTTACCAGCTGTAACACAAAGTTGACTTTGTCTAGTTCTGCTTTACTTTTCTTATGGGCTGGGTTAGATTTACAAAAAATTCACCTCTTTATTATGCTGGAGTTGGGGATGGAATGATTGTTTCTTCTTCCTTAAAAAAAAGTTTCACTGCTGTGTATGGTTTATCCTCATGATTTTCTTTGTGTTCCCTAACATAATTATCATTTCAGGTTTCTCACACATAACACCCATGACAATTCTGGCAGTCCTTTGATCTGATTAATGAAACTCTAGTCAGTATTGTGTTCACTTTTTTACCTAAGGGAATGGTCTGGAATCTTAACAACAGCAGGCATATATTAGATTGTTTTTTTGTACTGGATTGGATTAAATGGTTTCTACCTAAAGTCTTAGTTTAAACATCATGTTGGCAAGCTTTCTCACAAAAAAAATCTAAGCCTCTATCAAGATGGTGAACCTCTGAGAGATCTATAAATACTGGGGGCAAAGAGTAAACAGAAGCTGCTGATACTAGTGCAGTGCGTGAATGTTGAAACATCACCAAGATTTTGTTTAGGGCGATGCATTTATGCTACAGAACTTATTTGTGTTCACTGAATTCCAGTTCATAACCTAGAGCCCTGAGTTCATTAAGAAGCAATGCAATTCCTTGCCTAGTCAGTGAGCCACTGTTTGTTGAATCTTTTCATGAGGTTCATGAAGGTCACTTACCAGGAGGTTTGCAGTATATGGGTCAAATAGCTCATATTCATTTGTCTGCAGAACAGACCTCATATGCTAATCTAAGCCATTTATGAGAATTCTCTAAAGCTGCCACCAGCCCTCTAGAGCACTCCATCATTTAATAGAAGACAGTTCCAAATGTCATATTTGTTGATGTTCTGTGAAATTAATTTTAAATGTTTAATAGAAATTTATAGTAAATGGTTCAATACCTTGAGAGCTGGTGTGAAAAGGAGTATTTGGAAAGACATGAGTGTTTCACCATTTGAAATGTTCAGCTTAGCTCAAATTGCTTTAAACACAGTGTGTCCTGGGAATGCCCACTGAATTTCAGCTTTCTCCAGTCTCTTCTAGGTTGGTCCTATGCACGGGAACACGCTTCTGCTCTGCATCTGCATTCTGTTTCCCATCAAGACTGGTATGCTCCCTTGACCCCTATTCTAATTGCCTTGAGCCTTGACAACACATTCCTCACTGCTCCCACAAGGCTGGACTAGGTTCTCCATACCCCTGTCATCGAAAGGGGTCCTGTTTCAATCCAGAGAGTCTGAAGAATGGCTGTCCTAACTCAAGTATCATCACTGCTTTGCCTGTTTACCTGAACTCCACCCACCTCCTTTCTTCTACCCTTAGGGCCAGATTTCAAGGATATCATAGGCAGCCTAAAATCGATACAATTTTCTTGAATGTCCTTGGACATTATAATGTGACTGTTGGCACCCTCCCTCAACCCAAGGTGGCCAGCTGAACAGCTTTCTTACTCTATAAGGCCACCCTGTTCTTAGCTCATCTGGCCACTTCAGGTAGTTCAGCACTACTCCCACTGAGTGTAGATATCTAGCCTCTGACTTTGGAGCTGATGGTAATATGTCAGTTCTTTCCATTTTACTATTTTTCAATGGGTAAAAAGTTCTTAACTATTTAAAATACAGATCCTACTATTTCCATTAATTCCCAAGAGAAATAATTAATCAGTGTTTGAAGTCTGCTTTGGGTGACAATAATACTTTGTCAGACAGCTAAATAACACAAGCAAAAACTTCACCAACAGATGTTTCTACCAGAAAGACTTTCTTGAAAGAACACCCCCTAAAATCCCTCACTTTTTTTGTTTCACTTCATAAAACAATGACATATTTAGTTCATCCACACAACAGACTTTTAGACTTGATTATAGATGGCTGAGAGGATATTCTTGTGTCACATGAAAGGACACAGACATACGAAAGCATAAAACATTATATATGGAGTTATAATGGACAGTTAAAGAGTAAAAAGAAGTATTACCTTAGGGTCATGTATTCCAGAAAGCTCTTCATAGATCTTCTCACCTACCATGACAGCAGCCAAGTTTGCTGTGTAGGTAGAAAGGCAAAACATACAGAAAATGGCCCAAAGGTTCATCAGAAACCTTCCAGTCCAGCATTTTGGGGGTTTAATGGCTGCTGTTCTACCAAACAGGAGGGCATAGCAGACATTCAAGGCCGAAGAGAAAGAGAAGACTTTACTTCTATTCCGCCCCTTGGGAGTCATGCCAAAGGGGCTCTTCCATTCATACAGAGTGAGGAAGATGGCAGTAATGTGAAGAGCCACGAAAATCCCCAGCCACAGCGTCCAGTGCAGTGGCCACATGAAGGCTCCAATGGGAGCCGCTGTGTCTCGGGTCCTCACTAAGATACCCAGGCTGGTGGAGAAGAAAGGACTGGTGAAATCTACCACCTGGCTCCGTGCAGTATTGATGCTGAAGGAAGTGACTGCCATGTGGGCTGAACCGCTCAGGAGATCGCCCACCAGCCCAGTCCAATGCCCATTTTTCCAGGCTCCGTACTTGCCATCCCCAACAATGTAGAGGTCGAAGTCGAAGCTCATGTCGTCTGCCAGCTTTTCCAACAGGTCGATGCAGTATCCATAGCAGCACTTCTTGAATTTGATGGGCACTGTATCATTACCACTACGGAGGCTGCTAAAAAGACGATCCAACATGGAAGAGTCCTTAGTCACGGGGTCCAGACAGAGCCGGCCAGCGGGGCACAGGCCCTCCTCCTCCACCTCCCGGGCGAAGACAAATGGGTGCTCGATCAGAGTCACCACCCTCAGGTGTAGCTTTCGTGGGTGTTGGAAGTGGGTTTTGTGTCTCTGTGCCTGCTCTGGCCATATTCCATAATCCATGACGATCTCCCCCCGCTGCCAGCTGCCCAGGCGGGTCCACACAGGCTTTCCCATGGGGTTGTGTTGCAGATTCCAGATGAAAAAGTTGTTTTCTGAGCTGATGATAGTGGAACCTTTTACTCTGATGGAACCACTGAGGCCTCTGAAAGTGGTGTTGGCTAGAAACCTGGCAAAGAGGAGTAAAGGTAAAAAGTAAGGAAGAGAAATAAGGCCAAAGGCAGGAAGCAGTTCTCATCTTTGCTTCCCTTTATAAAAAGTCTAATTTTAAAAAGGGCACTACCTCTAATTCCTTCAGGAATTAATCATCTGGGCTCTTTCTAGGAGAGGAGTCCTATTTCACTGAGTGAATGAGGTCTCAGCCTCACGGTCTAACACCTGGGCTAGGTATTGACTCTTGGTCTTACTCCAAATCTTTTTATTCCTAGTTAAGGGGTATGCTTATTATTTTCTGTGATAAAATGTTAATTATATATTCTCACAACTTCCCAAGCTACAGAGGTTCTTAGCATCTTTAACGTGTCTCATTTCTATGGCTTATTATTTTTGATTGCAAGTAAATCAGCTCAATCAATATATTTTTGGTGCAAGGAATGAGCTTGAACAAGTATACAATATCCTTTTTATAATTGCTTAAAAATTGCATTCATAATTCTAGAAAACAGCCGGAATAGTGTTATCAGCGTTTCTCCTTTTAAAGTGAGAACAATCAACACATCCGTCCCCATGAGGCCAGTCAAAGCTGTGTGTTGGATATTAGCCATGGGACAAAGATGATGATACATAGACTTGCAGATCTCAGGGTAGCCTCAGGCTACCCTCCCTCTAAGTCATTAGAGAAAAACAACTGGCTCTGACTCTAGAGACAGCTTCTGCCAGAAGTCGAAGGAAGGAAAATTACCAACTGAATGATATACTGATTCTTAACCCTGTGAATAGGGCACTGTCAGTATATGTTCTGATAGGGACAAGACAGGAAAATGCTTGGTTGCAGCCTCGTTTGGGAAGATAAGACAATAAGAGGTAACACACAGCTTGCGGCGCCTGTGTGCTCTTAATTATGGCCTTGTGTCAGAATAAAAGCCCAGACATCTGTTTTAAAAAAAACCCTCAGATAAACATGTGTTTGAATATTGGTTCAGTCACCTTCTCGCATCTTCCTTGGATATCAATTTACTAAACTCTTAAGCTTGAGTTTCCTCGTCGGCAAAATGGAAAAAAAATAATACTTCCTCCATTACAAGGGTTGGGAATACATGCATATACCACAGCACAATAAAGTATATACCATACCTTTTGACACAGAACCCATGTTTCAGGTATGGTAGCTATTATTTAATGTCATGCAAGTCTTTTCAATAGAGGCTGTCCCCAGGTCACTTTCTCTAGTCTTCTAATAGAACTTTTCTAGTCGCAGACACCAAGTACTTCCATTATGACAAATTCATAGAGGCTACTCAAGACACATTTGAAAAAGAAAAGGAACTACACTGAAATGTGGAATATAACATGGCATGTTTTTTTAAGGCATCAGATGATACAAGTCTGGGTTCTCAGCAAAACACACTCATCCATTGCCTGCCACAAGCATTACTGTACTGGGTAATTTACAAACCCAAATACAAGTAGTATGAAGCTATGCTGCCATGGGAGGGACATAGAAAAATCAGAAAGTATGAAGAATGTACTAATTTTCATTATATATAAATGTAAATCACATTTGAAGATGCTACTATCACTAAATGCAATGAAACTGCTCATTTTGGTAGATTGCGTGTAAGGGTAATTATTCATGTAAGCTCTCCCCAGTGGAGCTCTGCCACTTAAAGTGAATTCTATTTTGCAACAAGTAATGAAATCTCAGTTATCTTCGACTTTAAAACAGTTTTCTGCTTCTTTAGAGAAGTAGGGAACCAAATCATTAAAATATACAGATTAATCAATTGATAATTACTTAGGTACTATAAAGGAAGGGTGACTACAGCTGTGCTTCTGATGAACAACCTCTATTACGTTTGTTAAAAGACAGACAGACACACACACACGCACACACACACACACACACACACACACACACACACACACACACACACTGACAGAGCCTAGTAATAAATATATACTTAAGTTGTCTCAGAAAACAAGTCTTCAGAAATCTTTCAGAGATTATGTAACTCCCTCATTCCAGTAAAACCTATTCCTTGTTATCAATGTAAGATAACATTTGAGATGGCCACAGTGAAGGGACAATGCTGTTATCTCTGAGGCCTTCATTTGTCACAGAAAGGCAAATCAATCAGGGTCTACAAATCTTCAATTTTTCCCAGACAAGAAAATCCAGTGCTCACTTCACCATACAACTTGCATCGAGAAATGAGGTCTCAAAGAATCCCCATTTATGACATATTATTTCTGCTTATATTTTATTTTCAGCTTTACAGAGAGGGTAAAGTGAAATCATCTCATTGATAGCTTTTAGTCATAGTCAACTTCCCTATTTATTCTTTGTAATGTAATAACAATGCACAGCAAAGTTTAAATGCTCACTGTGTTAGTTAAAATATTAAAAGCATGAAATCTTGCTTTCACTTAAAACAAATTTTTACCATGTTCCTTTTATCTTGCCCCAGACTCTTTCTGGGTGGACAAGCAAAAGGAAAATCAGGAATAATTTTATTGGTGAGGCACTGATACACATACCAGCAGGCACTGTTCTTAGCTCTGGAGTTACAGAGATGAAAGACACTCACTGTTCTCAAGGAGCTCACAGCTTAGAGATGGGGAGAGAGAAGTGACCAGGCAATTCTCAACCAGTGCAAAGAACATCGTGAGCGAGATGAACCTGGGTGCCCTGGGGCCAGCAAGCAAGGGCACCTGCACACTGCACTCTGGGGTGGCCAGGGGGGATTCTTAGAGGAGGAGGTGTCAGCCCTGAGTCTTGAAGAAGGAATTACAATCAGCTGGGAAGAGAAGCTGGGCACCGGTGCTGTCAACTGAGGTAGATGCCTGTGCGAAAGCCAGAGACAGAGACATCAGGCTGCACGATAGTAGACAAGCGGTGAGACAGAAGGCTGGAGATGAGGGAGGGGAATGAATTCCAAAGGCCCTGAGGTCACGATGAAGGTAATGGGGAGCTATTGAGGGGATTTTGACTTGGGGGGGTACATGATCATCAGATTTGATTTTACAAAGTTTTTTTTCCCCCTGCTAGCTCTGTAGGAAATGGATTGGAAGGAGGAGGGTCTGAGAATAACATCTCGTGTGAGAAATAATGCTCCCTCCCTCCTTCACTTCTTTTCTCCCTCTCTGCTTGTTTCATAAGGGGATTCAAGTGGCAAGGGCTAAAGTAAGAGCAGAAGTGGAGAGAAGATGGCTTAATCAAGAGATATATAGTCTTCATAAAGAAAAGTAGTGTTTTTAAGGGGCCAAATGCACAGGGTTGCATTTAGTACACAAACCACACTAAGAATATGTGAAACTCAGTTTGATGGAAGGTCGTATAAAAAGACCTGGAGTAGTTAGATGAATATCAGCTCGATGTAGGCCCATAGAGTAATGAGGGTATAAAAAAGGAGAAAAGTGCTCTTACATTATTTTAATAGAAAGCTAGAGCCTGGGTCCCTGGGACCAATATGAGCGCCATCCTCCATGCAGATCACACTACTGCTCCAGCCTACACAGGAATTCTAAACAAATCTTCCAGATTCAAGAATATCATGAGGAAAGTAAGGAGGTCCAGTAAGCACCATAATATGATGGGAAAGCAGAGAAGAAAAACAAGAGAAAATAGTACAGGGAAAGCCAATGGCAATTATAGAAGTGTCATGACTATTTCATGAGATTGGATTTTATTTATAAGAAAAGGGAAGCCATGCAGATTTCTGAGCACAGTAGTGATATAACCAGAGGTCTGTAATAGTAATATTGACCTGTAAACAGGTAAAATGTGTATATAGGAAAGAAGAGACAGTGACCAGGAGACCACTTAGAACAGCACTACAATAGCCTTGTCCTGGTGCGGTAAGGCCCCAGATCTCACTCTACGAGAACCTAGTTTAGCACGGGACCTTACACACAGAGTGTTTAACAGAGCAGTTCAGGCATGTATCTTTTTTAACAGCAAACCTTCCAAGATACCACGGTGCTCAAAAGAATGAAACTCATTAGCTAATTTGCTTTGAGGTAACTTACTACTTTTGCAAAAGCTCCTGCTTATGTCACTAATGAAGAATATGTGTTGATTTGTATAGAGTTGCATAAAATTCACACTTTGTAAATTAGGTAAAAAGTGCTTTTGAGACAGTTCAGTGTCTCAAAAGCCAGATCAGTGTTTAATATATTTAAGATATATTTCAGAGCCCACATTTGTATATGACACTTCAGATACTAATTAAAGGATTCTCTTATTCATTAAAACAAATGAACGAAGATGTTAACAAAACAATACTTAACTCATTCAGTCATTTGTCCATTCAAGATTACTCACTATATGCTAGGCATTGCTCTTGGTGCTGGGGAATTGAACAGTGAACAAAACAGACAAAAATCTATGCAGCTTATATTCTACTGAAGGAGACAGACTAAAAATGGTAAATAGGTAATATGTACATGATGTTAGATAGTGGTACATGCAAAGGAGGAAATATAAAGCAGAGTGGGTAGTGATGGGCGATTAGATTAGAAGCCAAGAAGGGCCTCTCAGGGAAGGTGATACTTGAGCAGAGCCGATGAAGGGGAAGGTGCTGACCAGGGGACCTGGGTCAACGGTGTTTCCTGTATACAGAGCAACAAGCCCAACTTTCTTCAAGTGGGACTGAGGCTGATGGCCGAGGAACATCTTGGGGAGGGAGGGGCATGAGGCTGAAGATAAGGCTGGGGAGAACAGGATTTTGTAGGTCACTGTGAGCACTTTGTTTCTTCTCCACATGATATGGAACGCTCTTGCTAGGTTTTGAGCAGAGAAATGATATGACTTACATTTAACAGGGTCATCCAAATGCTATGTTGAGAATGACAGGGGCAGAAGCAGGGAAGACCGGTTAGGATAGTGATGGTGGTTTGGACTGAGGTAGTAGCAGTGGAGATGTGAGAATTATCTGGACCTTGGTACATTTTGAAGCTGAAACGGAAAGGATTTGCTGATGGCTCATATATGGTTGCCAGGAAAAGGAG